GCAGCATGCACACATACACATGCATGTCTGCTCTCACCTAGTAATAACGTATTCATACACTGAACAAGAAATACAAAGATGCAACACAACTAACATGACGTACATGTCTGTATGTGTTATTTATTCATCGTGTTGTGAAAAGAAAAATCTGTTCACATCTGGGGATAAAATCCAGTCTCCACAGGTTAACCATTTATTTAAGTGTTTATAGCTGGCTTTAAGATAGACTTAAAGTTATGACTACGTTTAGGTCGTTAGGTATAGAATTAATGTAAATTACAATTTCCCAACAAGTATAGTAGAACAAATTTGTGTGCGTGGGTTCAGGGCCTCCACTGTGCAGCAGAATAAAATGAATAAAGCCTCCACAGTAAATATGTGGCTTCTCACCTCATTCATTATGTAATGGGAGTAACAGCCGTCCTCCCTCTCCCCTATCTCTCTCTCCTCACCTCCCCTCTCTCCACCCCATCCTCCCCTCAGCCTTCACCTTCTGTTCACCACCTGTACGGGAACAGATTCTCTCCACTCTCCGCATGACACTTCAATCTGTTCTACAGCAGATAGAAGGATTGAGTGCTGGTATTTTCTTTTTATTTTCATGTCTTTTCTGTTCCTTTTTTTTACGTCTATATCTTGTCTCCTGCACTTAGTACTCAGCGACTGACGTGCCTGGACGCCACCTCAGGTCAAATTCAAAAGGTTAAAGGTCTGACATTTGAACACAGTGCCAGCAGGGCTGATGTTCACATGCACGTGACGTCGTCCATTTATGCATACAGTCACGCACATGTAGGCAGCAGGCATTTCTGCATGTTGGTGTGTGTTATTTATGTGTGCATGTCTGTATGTATGTCTGTGACCTTAAACACATGTCTCACCCTACTTGTGTTGTTCCATATGTGACACATGAGTTTGACAAGCTTCGCAGCTTTACTCTGTTGTCAATTTTCATATTCATTGTTAGCTTTCCCGGCAACATTTGCTCAGTATTGTATAAAGACTGACAATCTAAATCTGTAAAGTGTGAAAAGAAAGAGAAGACACTTGTGAATGACATGAAAAAAATGTGAGGGAGGGATAATACAGATTGATAAAGAAAGACAGGAGGAAGAATGAACTGCAGCTGAAAGGAAAAATCATTTACATACTCGCTCTCATACACGCACGCAGGTTATAAAGAGGTGGCAACAGAGGACTGATGGTTCCTTCTCATTGCTAAAGATACAACTGATGACAATTCCATTAATCCTGTCAGTCCTCTATTCCTCCATCTCTCTCAATCCCCCTCTTTTCTCAGTCCTTTTATAGATGAAAGGCTTCCACTTTTTCTGTCAATGGCCTGCAGTCATCTGAATTAAACATTGATTTTATCGGAAGTTTAGTCACTGCGTCCGTGACGACTCGCTGCCTCCTCAAAAACCACGTGCGGGTGTCTCATCGCGGCGGAACGCAGAGCCAAGGAGAGAAGGATGAAGATGAGATGAGAGATGGAGCGGACTGAGTTAGAACAGAGGAGACGAGGGGGGTGTGGGGGGTAGATTTCAAGAGGACGACATTAAAACGCAAGAAAGGAGACAGACGGGGACATAGGAAGCTGAGGAGGGAGACAAGGCGAACACAGGGGGATGAGAAGAAAGAACAAGGGATTCGGCGAGCAGCAATTAAGAGAGGAAGGAGGGAGAGGAAGAAAGACTGAGCAGTGGATGAGGCAGGGCTCACACAGAATAGAAAGGGGAAAGGGTTTTTTGAAGTGCAATGTTCAAATCTCTCTTTTGTTCCCGTCATTGTCCAACACCTGCCACAACTCATCTCTGTAAAAATCCCTCCTTTTTCCTCCCATTCCCATCCACCCTCACTCCCACCATCAACAAAGACACATCACTGCTAATCAGCTGGGCTACCGCCACACAGGCCCACATTCTTCTTCCTCTTCTTCTGAAATATTAAGAAGTTACAGTTTCCACATTTACAGTTGCTCACGCTTGCAGCGGCAAAAAACAGTTCTGTTTCACATACACAACCTCTGGTAAGAGAGGGAAAAGAAGACGGTTGTGTTGACACCCGGTTCTCGACCACACCAGCCAAATTAAGACAAACAGAACATGTTGACCTCTAGTTGGGAATGCACAAGCTTTGCTGTGGTCCCCCCTGGTCTAAACTTCCTCTTCTTCTTCGTCCATGTTTCTTTCCCCTCTTCCTCCATCTGTGGTTTGTTGTTGGGCACCCTGAGGAGACAGGAGATGAAAGGGAGTTGGTCTCAGGGGAGCACCAGCGTTGAACGGGGAGGCCCGGCTCTCTCTCACAGCACTAATTCCCGCAGCGTTGCGCCATCTCTGGGATTAAGCATTTTCAGAGAAGGACGACAGAATGGGTCCTCTGGTTCATGTTCACCCCTGTTCATAAGTGCATTGCGTACACACACATTTCACACAGACAGACGGATAAAACTTCCAGTCTCTGCAGTGTTCATGTTCATAGGGTGTGGTAGACTTGAGGGAAAATAAAAAACGAATTCAACACAGATAACAGCAGAAGCGCGTTAAGGAAGCAGAATAAAAGTAATGGGCTAGTTTTCATAGAATTCATGAATATCTCTCTCCCTCCCTGCTTTTGCAGTCCTCTCTGAGGTCTTCTGGCAGCCAACGGTGGAGTTCCCTCACACCCACGGCCCCGGGGTGGCACGGCTTTGGCTCCCAGTGTGCACTACTTCCCTAGGAACACCTCACCATTTGGGTCAGTCTCCTATCTCTCTTTCTATCTCTCTTCTGGTGTCTCTCTCTCCCTCACTCGATCTCATTTTGCTGCAGTAGGTATGAATAATTAAACCTGCGTTTCCTCTCCTCTCATGTCATGTCTCTGTCTGCCACCCCTCCTCTCGTCCTCTCCGCTGCGTCTCTCACTCAGGCTGAAGTGTTATAACAGAAGTGAGTCATTTAGAAGAGGGAAAAGGCTGCAGATCAAGGAGGGTTGAGTTCAGTTTGGAACTTGGCATGTTACATAAGCTGTCACTGTGTGTTATTGACTGAGGGGTGGGGGGCAGAAAGAGTGAGGTGAGACTGTGATAATGGTGAACGGAAAGAGCGAGTGAGAGAAAGATGGAGAACGAAGGATCACGAGTGAGTTAGTGGCATGTAGAGTGATGTCGCAACAGTGGTGATAAAGTTGCATCTTCTCTTAAAAGGTTTTGTAAGCTGCCCTTCAAAGGCAGAACACATTTCACAGTTTGCAAAAAACAAATGGCTCTTCAGAACCTGAAGGATCCATTGTTTCATGTGTTACAAATGTGGAGTTGAAAAGTTACCTTTGTTTTCAGTTGTTTTGTGTATCGATTTAACTAGCAAGGAAATTACATATCTTCCAATGTTACAAAACATATAACACAGGCTTACAACAAAATAGATCAGATCTAAAGACAATATGAGCATGGAAGTTCATTCTTGACACTGGGAACATGTTCACAATTAAAGAGAATAATCAGTGACAGATATGATCAGTAGGATTATGTTAAAGATAACTAAAGTCAATGTATCATTACAAAGATCGTGAAACCAGATAAGCAGTACATTAATGTGGTTATAATCAATATTTTTTATTAATGATCACATGATTACTTGTATATGAAAGGGATTGCACATACTCATGTACCCACAGAATTATCACAACTCTGCAGTTCCCCTTAGCTCTTGTAGTGTCTTTCAGCTCATTGTTATTAGTTTTAAAGTTTTACTTTTATTCATCAAGTGGTGAGAAACACAACTTCATGTGAATGCTTATGTTGCTCTTTGCATCTGCCTCTATATGCAAAGAGGCAGCTGTTTGCAACATGTTTTTCATTTCAACTTAAAAGGTGATGACTTGTCAGTGCTGTGTTCACAGCTTGTTTGTGGCCAAAGTATCAGTTATTGCAGCTTTAACCGTCTAACTCGCTGATGGTCACAATAAATCCAATAAAGAATTCAATAAACTTGAAACCCAAAAACTGAATTGTTGATAAATGATAAATAGAGATGAAGAAAGAGAGAGAAAAATCAGCTTGTGAGAAAGATAAATCAGCTTGTTTGTCAAGATTACTTCAGACGAGTGCGAGACAGTTTCAAGATCAAGTCACGACCCAATCCTGGGGTTGATAACAAGTCAAGACCAGAAAAACAAAACAGTGCCCATTTAATATTCTTCATATTATTGTTTTACTGTTATTCTTGGTGAGAGTCAGTGGTGATAAAACCTCAAATATCAAGTTTGAAATCTGATGGGAACAGAAAATAACCTACATTTGCCTAAATGTTGCATTATTTACTAAAACTGTGTGTGTGCATGAAAGTCTGAGGAAATGAAATCCAACATATTAGACATTCAAAGATTCTTGCACAGTTGTACCACATTTTCCCGCACATAAAACTACACAAATGAGGATGCTTGGTTGTTAGGTGGCAATAAAACACAATAAAATATATTGTAAATTACCAGTGCATGTAATATTTGTCATGGGTTTGGGTTGGTTGGGTGTGTTTTGTATTTGTTTCTGTGTTCATTCCCTGCCATTTTGTTCGCTCTTCTCTGTAGTTTGTGTTGTGTTACTTTGGTCATTTGTTTATTCATCAGTGTTTCCTTGTTATGAGTTATCATCAGTGTTTCTAGTCTTATTTTACAGTCTCTATGTTCTTTGCTTATGTAGGTTTTGTGAGCAAGTCACCTAGGTTGTTTGTTATGTTTCATTTTGTGACAGTGTTCCTTGTGTGTTTCAGTTAACTTTACTTCCTGTGTGTTTGTAATTAGTCTGCTCGTGTTACTTGTCATGTTTTACTTCCTGTGCTTGTCCTTGATTGTCTTAGTGGTCTCACCTGTGTGTAATTAGTTTCTCCCTCACCTGTGTATTTAAGTGGCTGTCTGTCTTTGAGGGGTTGCCATTCATTGTGGCTTTTGTTAGTGTTTATTTCTTGTGCCTAACTTCCAGTGTAGTCTCTTGTTTCCCGGTTTCTTGTGGACTATTCTCTCTTGGATTTTTGGACTTTGTCAGCCGGACAGCTGAACTTAACAATATTACTGTAAAGAGTTTGTGAATCTGTGGAGAACTGACAGCTGTCTGACAGCAGAGCAGCATCTCCAGCCTGAAACGAGGGCTGCCAGTGACGCTGGGTGAACCCAAAGACTGGGTTGGTCTTTGACTTGGCCAAGACGGAGACAAGTCCAAATACATACTGAGTCCAAGACAAGCCCTAGATAAAAGGGAAAATGTCTCGAGACTAGAATGAGAACCAAGAATGGCACTGCCCAAATCAAGGAGAATTTTTTTCGTCGTGTGTGTTTATGCAAGTAGATTCCTGAATCTTTTATGTCCAACCATAGACTGTATACTATAGATGTAGCCACTGTGATGTCACCCATTGGTTTGTGGACTTCTCGACTCCTCGACAGCACATTGGCCATTGCGATCTTGCTGTTTTGGAAGCAGAAGTGATCATAAAGTGGACGAGAGGGTGGAGCTGGGGAGGGATACTCATTGCTACTCATTAAGAAAGTATTTACTGAGGTAATGAATCAAGTGAGTATTACTTTTGTCTAATTTTGACTCCTATGCTGTCGGACTTCTTTTTGCAATCAGTGGACTCACTCCCTGCTGTTCACTAGAAAGAATGCAAGTTGAAGGCGCTTCAGCATTGCTTCACTTTGTCAGACCTGGAGGTGCCCTCTTGTGTCCAAGTGAAACATGTTGCATTTAGAGAGAGCAGCATGCGTGAAGTTTCTTAAATCTTCTTTCAGTTCATAAGGAGTAGTTTCCATTTTAAAGTTCACAAGCTACATTATCACTTTTATTCTCCTGCCTGTAAACGAAACATAATTCATTAGCCTGCAAAGCACATGATATTGCAGAATTTTCACCAGTAAATACCCCTTTACCCTTCTCTGTGCACCCATCTACCTCTTTGTCTCATCTTTGCCCTTCCCTCCATCTCTCTGGCAACTCCTTCCCTCTTTTCGTCTCTCTTCCCTCAGGTGTCATATTACCATAATGGCTTCTTGTGACGGTGATGTACTAAGCTGAAGTATGGAAATGCAATATGCCACAGCACACATTATGAGAGCTGAATGCATTAGATGTCATTTGTGTGAGTATACGGCTGTATGGTCATTATGTGTTAAACTGTGGGAAACAGGGGGGTGGGGGAGTTGGTAAACTATATTCCAGTTACAGTGAGGTTCGGGTATTCTGTAGCTCGCATGCAAAGAGGAGTGAGAATTAACAGGGAAATGAATATATGGAATGAAAATGGCCTCTTGTCATTCTTTTCTTGCATACCTACAATATTTACTGCAGCACAACTGTGGCGTGATTAGACACTGAACTGACTGAGTTTGGTCTGCGTGCGATGGCGTACACCTTCATGCTAATCTGTTCATAATAGTTTCTTTTAGTTGCAGGGATGGTAATACCTATTTGTAGGTCACTCTGTCCACCACTTTGGTCCAGACTGAAATATCGCCAAAAACTATTGGATGAATTGCCACGATATTTTGTACAGACAAACTTTTCTTCCAGTGCCACCATGAAGTTAGGCTTAATTTAGGGGTAAAATGTCACAACTAGAAAGATTGCCATGAAATGTGGTTCGCACATTCATGTTTTCTTATAACCAGCAGCTGTCAGACCAGATGCTCTAAATAGAGAATCTTCAGTGTCCTCAAAGTGTGAACTTGGCAAAATTGCATTTTCATACTACTGTATCAGTTCAACCAAACAACATTATCTGCCTCTGTATTCAGAGAGAAGACCGGAAGTAGGCATGGTTAATAAGGAAGTCACATTAAATTGTGCTAATATTAATTGCCAATGGTTTTGCTAAAGCATCAAATCCATTTTCTTTTCATCCCCTTTTCTTTTCAGTTTTAACTAATCCAAGTTCTATGAAGTGTCTGAACCCCACCACCACCCATTAACTGGGGGTCTTGATTTGCATTGGAAACTATTCACAGTAAAGATATAAAGAAAAATATCCTTCAGTTAAAGGGAATAATCTTTCATTTCAATGGGCTACAATTGCATTAAATATCAATCCAACAACAGTAGTGGAACATCATGACACCAAACCAACAATAAATTCCTTTTGTAGACAGATTTTGAAGCTGTGCATACCACTGATTATCAATAAAAATATTCACCACCCTTCCTCTGTATAGCCTCACTACAATTAACCAGAAAAGAGACAAAGCTCAGATATTTAAACACAAATGACCAACAATAAATAATAAGAGCAATGGACAGCTATGAAATAACTGCCATTATAACAGCATAATAAAACATCTCCAAAGCAGACCAGACAACACAGAGATGTAGAAACAACATAAACTCCAGCACAAATATCAAATGCAGAGATGCACAGTTTTTACACACCACGTAGTGCGCATATAATGCTGCTAGGCAACGCAGTGGTTGTACTCACCTGTCTGTACATCACTCTGTGAGTTTTGTGCACAGCAACAGTCTGCTTTTAGCTCACCTTGTTTGGTTAACCACCCTCAGTTCATAGTATCACCTGTCTGTACCACTCTAACCAGCACGCTTAGCCAAACATTTTGCGCTGAAAGAGGCTCCACAAGCGCCGAAAAATAAACAGCATAAAGGTCTCACACACCTCCGTTAAAGTAGAAGTCCCACTGTAGCAAATGTAGAAATCACAGCTGGAGGATCCACTGTGAGCATTTAATATTTAGCCAAACCATATATGCAGCTGTTGGTCATGCAACAACTTGGGTGCGATTGATTTGTGTCACTTAGTGTGTTCGCCTGGTGGTGCATTAAATCAGTGATTAATTAAAGCAGGCAGGTGTTGTTGACTTGAATGGTTTAGGCCTACATGACAAACTTAATTTGGAAACACTGTCTCATATCAGGCATTCAAAAGCCACATTCAAAACATGTTATTATAAGTATATCTATGTTGAACAGTTGTGCTCTCTCCTTCTCAGGTCCATATATTATTGTGCTATGTTGACTTTTTTTATCTGACTCTACTATCTCATCTAAGCTTCTATTTTGGCCAGGTCTCTCCTGTAAAAGAAAAAAATATTTTACAAGACTTCCTGTTTAAAGAAAGGTTAACGTTTCAGCGAGCACCACAGCTAGGCCAGAATTTTAATTTGCTCATTACTTTGGTTTATGACTATATACCTGCAAAACGGATTGCATATGGGTTTCTCTGTGTGCTTAGACCATTCCAGCATGATCTGGCACCAGATCCATCGGCAAAGGTGGAGAAAAGTGACCTCCACATAGTCTTTTTGGACCTCGCCAATTCCTTTCATCCTACTTCCAGGACCTGCAGTTCTACTTTTCCACCTCTGAGTTTATCTCCAGAGGTGTCGTGAGCTCATCAACGAAACGTCACAGAAGGAGGGTGTACTCCTCTTACAACCATCATTAGTTACTTCATAGCTGAGTTTATCATCAGCAAGAAGACTCTCTTCTAAGTGCTTGGACAAAGGATACGGACATCGCATCTTGTGTTTTTGAAAAGGGATATTATTTTACAATACTGAATCACTTGAAATTTTACTTTTGTGACTGTAATGAGGACTGTTCCTATCGCTCTTTCTAAGAACATTGACCTCTGCAGTCCAACATAATGTTTCCTCTGTGTGTTGGTGTGTGTGTGTTGCAGCAGGTGTGATTATGTGGTCTCCTCAATGTTACAGGACCCTAGGATGAGTCACTGTGTTGCTGTGGGGACACTTCCTGCACTCCTCATAAATATAGCAAACCTTAAAGTGCAGAAAAATGTTCCTTTTTGAAAATGGGCAAAAATGAATGAAGGGAAAAATATGCATGTATATGAATATTTCAGTATTTATATAAGTTCTAAAAGACTCTGAGGGTCTGTTGTGGCATGATTGTAAGGAAATTAAAAAAGAAAGGTTTATTGTGATGCAGGTGAGAAAAGTTTTTAAATGCAAAGACAGAGCTCAAAGTTCATAGAGTCACAGAGATGGTGTGCTTTTTTGTTACATAAAGGCAAAGAGGGTGGGGGGGCATATCCGTGGGCATTGCTTCAGGGCATCACACTCTGTGTGCCAGAGAGAATGAGACAAAGGAGTAGAGGAGCATCCTGTCACCTATCAATCTCTCCTCTTCAGGTTTTATTTATTTTACTGTTTTTTCCTTCACCTGTTTACACAAATTGTTTTTTCCTTCAACTTTTCTGCTTTTCAAATTATGCATTGCTCAGTGTGAATGCACGTTATTGTTGTGGAAACTCGAGAGAGGGGACAATGAGGCCTCCAAACTCCAAATCTCTCTTTTTGTCTTTAGGCTGTCAAAGTTATCATTGTCAGTTTTCATTTACTGTACAATAACAGTACAGTTTATGCTTGTTTTAGTTCAGTGAAATGTGTTTTTACTATACTGTATGCTCTCTCCTTCAAGTACTTCTGTGCTTTTGCCACAATGTTCCCCGCTTTTGAAATGATTTGTTGTATCCCGACAGAGCAGACGATGGAAATCAGTTTTTGCAGCACTACTGCAGTGATTCAGTGATTCACGCTAACCGCAGCCTTAGAAACACAATACCATTTCCCCAGAACTGGGTGAGAAAGTCAAGAATTCATTTATAGTTTCTACCCACTCAATTCTTTTCACAGTCACCAGGGAAAAGATCACCAGTCAGTCAGTCACAGGGCCATCACAGATAGACAAACGCTCTCTCACAGTCAGATTCTTACCTAACGAGGTTTCCTGAGTGTGGGAGGGAACCACAGCATCATGAGGGAAGCCATGCAGGGCTGGATCGGAGACGAAAAATGGTCCTGGACTTTTTGACTCAGATGGACATTCCTGAAACACCTTGACTAACAGAACTGGTATCGCTGTTCTCACTGGGCTCCTTGCTCTCTCTTCTCTCTGCTGCCAGTGCCTTTGGGCTCACTGGCCTGTGATGATTGAATGGTAATGGTGCCAAATGAATAATTTGTTATTTTAAAACATTTGGCTCTGCTCCCACCTCTCCTCTCTCAGCTTTTCATCACACCTTTACGTTTTTTCTCTTTATTGGTCCAGCTTGCTCAGCTCCACTGTTTATCAATGTAATGTCACCACTTAACAGAGATGGGAAAGGTAAAGTTAGAATGATGTGGACCGAAAGTAATTGGCTGGGAGAGAGAGGCTGACAGATGTAATACCCAACCGCAGGGCCGGTCAGTCAGTCACCTTGGTGCATAATCAAAGTGTGACAACCTCACCTGCAGTAACTTTTGGCATTCTGTTTTTGCAGATGCGCTGTTAAATTAAGGCACTTAGCCCAAAGGCCGGACAGGGGTTTAGAGATGTAGATGAATATTTCAGCAAGCACATTTCAACAAGTGTCAAGAAAAAAAACAATTGGCCTGTTTAAAAAAAAACAAATGTTTTGATGGCTCAAAAGGCACGTCAGCCCACCAGGAAAGTGCCCAGTATGCCAGATGGCCAATCCAGTCTTGGCATTGAGCACTGTGAAGTAACTGAGACACCTTTATGAGTGAATATAATTTCTTATTAAATCAGTTAATAAATAAATGCCTAGGCTTTCAAATCAGAACAGACCAGAAAAGGAGCCTGTTCTCTGTTGTTATTTTGATGTCGTTACCTGCAGGACATTTTTTTTTTTACACTTTATTGAAGCTGTTGATTTGTTGGCTGCATTATAGTTTTATGTCACCCAGCATCTGTCTGGCATCACAGCTGGACTTGTTAAATGTATGTTATAAAAACAAGTCAAGAATCAGCGCAATGGCACAGTTGTCTCTGTGTGTGAATTAAGTGTACAATTTTATTTATAAGACAAAAACAAGCAAAAAATAAGCACAGGAACAGGCAACCCTTGGTCCAACAATAAGATGACGTAAAGAAGCAAAGAAACAGATTTTCCGAACAGACCTGAAGATGGCGTCTGCTTTTATGGACTATCAATTGTTTTATTTAGTTTTATTTATTTAATTTTAATTTATTTTTAAGAACTTCATAGCGTGGCATAACCAGGTTTTTGTCATAGTGTTACTAATAGTAACCACACATATTACCAGAGGCATCCTAATTGCCTTCATTCATTTGTCAGACCTTCTGTGATTTACGGTCGCTTGTTACCTCACCAATTTGCAACAGAGCTACATACTAGCAGCCATCAGATTGTCTTTTCCGCAGTGTGTGACTATGATGTGGATTGTAACGTTAGTGGGATGTATTCATATGATGGGTTACTCACTAACTACCTGTTGCCATGACTTCGTCAACCCTGCAGAGACAATGCCCTTTCCTGTTGCTAGTTACACAGTCAGGCTTTGATACTGACTCTGTAAACAAGTGCTTGCGATCTCCTTATATAACTATCAAAAATAGAGCAAAAAAGGATATTTCTCAAAATGTCAAAATATACATTATTAACATAATAGATCTTTTACATCTTTTACTGATGGTGAGTTTCTGTAGTGGGAAGATGTACACTATCTGTCTGTGTGAATTCAGATTACAGATTTGTTGTTAAAGTGACTCTTTTTGTCATTGCAATATATTAACAATGTCAGCTCAAATTGCATCACAGAGATCACTTCACCTCCTTTTTCCCTGGTTGCTGAGGAGCTGCTGTTGTTTGCCGTCTCCAGTTTGTGGGACTGAGGGGGACAGATGGAGGAATCCCTGTCTCATCGCCCACTTCTGCTTCAGCTTTCATCCCCCGGGAGGACTCACATCTCCCTCAACACAGAGGTGTTTTCAAATTAAATACTATCTAATGAACTGGAAAACCTGCCCCCACCCTGCTCTGTGTGTGTATGTGTGTGTGTGTGTTTGTGGAGTACACGTTGGGGAAGTGCTGGT